ATCAACAATTCCTTATACATCATTTTTTATAAAAAAAATGCTAAAAAAAAATTCCTTATAAAATATAAGAAAATGTGATACGAAATTTTTAAAAACGTATACAAAACTTATTTATAATAATGAAAAAACATATGCAAATTTTTTATAGGGCAAGAAATGTATTAGATCAATTAAAAATTAATTTAATAAATTTTATTAAGAATAATAGAGAAGGTTAGATCAAAAAAAGATGTTAAAAATATAGGAAAAATATTTCTTACAGACTTAGTAAATGTGATTTGATATATTAATATTAGTTTAGATTTCTATTAGAGATCTGTAATTTTGATTGCCCTTTCATTATTTTTTATATTTAATAGTAGATTAGAAAAAGAATTTGATATATTTAATTAAAAATATAAAATACCAATATTTTTTGAAAATTTTTTTGATCATACAAACCCTTTAACTAAGGTTGGAAAATTTATATATACTAGACAAATTTTGACCTTGTATTTGTACTGTACTGTACTAAATTTTATATTAATTATTATGTGTACTAATTGTACTAATTGTACTAATTTCTCAACCCTGCCTTTAACTATAAAAATGCTTGTTTAAAGTTTAATTTTAATAATTTATAAGTTTAAATAAAAATTATTTAGATAAAAAGTTAAAGATTTCAATAACTAATAGAGTTTTTTATTAAATATATATTAGATTTATCAAAATATGCTGAATATCTTTTAAGTTAACAATTTAAAATTTCAGAAAATAAAAAATCTTTATTGATAAATTATCAATAGGATCTATTAAAATAATACAATTAAATGTATAATGTATATTTAAAATAATCAAAAAATATCAATTACTATTTAATACTTTTGAAGCAATTGAATTTTGAAAGTCAGTTATTATTAAATTATTTTATTCTGATGGTAATCAAATGTAAAGGAGCTGATATATAAAAAGCTTAAAAAATGCTTATAATTTTAAAGTTATTATTTATATCTATTATTATAGAGAAAATATTCAAAATTCTATTTTTATATAGAAAGTTAATGTAAACTTAAATGAATCAGAAGTAAATAATATGAATTATCAAATTAATATTCAATTAAAAAAACTATTATATATTTTTCATATAAAAGTAATGAAAAAAGAATTTAAAGATATTGTAAAAATATATTAAATAAAATATGACTTTAATATATTTATACTATATAATTAGAAGATAATTTTGCATCTGAAAATCTTTTTACAAAGAAATAGATATATAAGTAAAAATTATAGTTAAATTAGGAAATTTTAATATAATAACTAATTTAAAAGAAATGAATGAAGATAAAAATGAAAATTTTGATACCTTTTAGGAATATACAAACAAATATTTAAAAGATAAAGCTTAAGAATTTGTATTTACAATTGATAAAAAAGACATAATTCAATTTAATATTTAGCAAAATATAATATATATATTTGTGATTTAAGACAAAAAATAAAATTATATTTAGAAAATACAAATATTCCTTTAATACAATGAATAAAATTGCAGTTTTAGATGCTAAACCCAATACATAAATCTAATTTAAATATAAAAATTGATTAAATGTAAAATATATGATATAAAATAGGTAGTTATATTGCAATTATATAGATTTACATTATATATCTACATTGTTTTATTATTTAAAAGAAATGGCAATTAAATATAAAGATAATACTTATTTAATTTTATGGATAATAAACACAGATGTAAAGTAGGTAAACCTGATTATCCAGTAGTAATAATAGAATATAGTAGATAAGTATTAATAATTTATAATAAACCAATATAAGTATTAGATCATGATTTACAAAATATGATATTATATTTAGTATAACTATAATTTGTGATATTTTAGAATTTATTGAACAATTATTTTATCATGAAAAAGTTTATGTTAGTTTAAAAGTTCCTATTTTTTAACCTTTTGATTCTTTTTATCATATAATAAAATTATATAAAATTTTAATTAATCAAATAAATCATAAACTATTCTTATTTTTTTATATTAATGAAAGACTTAATCATTAAATAACTTATCTTAGAGTTTAAATAGCTTTAATTGTATTTTTTTTAGTATTATAATTAGATATATTAATTGTTTTATATATTTTATCAAGTTATTTATAGAAAAATTTTATTGAAAGAATTATGTTAACTTTAAATTTAGGTTTAAAATATATAGGTTTAATAAGAAATAAAATAGATGAAGATTTTGAAACAATTATTAATAATTGTAATTCAATAAATAATATTAGAAATAAAGCTAAAATATATTTATCTATAATTGATAAATTATACTAACTTATAATCAACAATTGAATTAATAAAAGATATTATTAAATGATTAGAATTAAAGAAGAACCATTTTCAATTTTTAAAGCTGTAATAGATTTTGAAATAAATGAATTATAAAACTATATTTTTAATATAAATAATTCTCTCATCCAAGAAATGCATACTAAAAAATAACTTAAAAATCAGATAAGATTAATAAATATTTATATATTTATTTTACATAATAATTAATTATTTTTTTGATTTTATTAGCCTAAATTTGAACAACTTATATATTATTGTTATTATTCTCAGCATTATTTTTTTGAAATAAGAAAGTGTGATATTGAAATTATGATATTTGCAATTTTTTTTGAAGTGATTCAGAAAACTTCAATAATATGTATCATTTATCAGATCCAGTTCCAAAACTAAATGGTGAAAGTTATAAAACATTTGAAGAATTATATAGTATTGAAACTACTGAAGAATTTCATTCATCATAAAAACTAACTAAAAAATCTCAAGGAATAGGATTTAGTCCTAGTGCATAATATACAAAAAATGTTGATACAGTTATACAATGTAAAGAATGTGAAAAATGGAGAGTTATGTATTCAAAAACAAAACTCAATAATGAAGAATCTGCTAAATTAAGTAGATAGTATTTAGAATACTTGTAGGGATTCTTTTGAAGGATTAATCTCAGAAATTTAACAAAATGAATTTTTAGAATTATTTTTAAAAAGTAAAAGTCAATGACAAATTAAATTGTCAAAGTAATATGAAAACTTCATATTATTCATGTAGGTTATTTGAGGATGAGATATGCTTTATTTGTGGTGAGTAATGCCAAGAGGATATGCTAAATTTACCAATAGATAATGAATTTTATTATTATTGTGATGAGTGTAGTGAAAAAGTAAATAAGAAAAAGCGAGGTAAACATTCTTTGGTCCAGATAGTCGAAAAAAAACAAAGAAATATGTAATTAGTTTTACTTGTTAAATGTTATCATCATTATCATATTCTTAAAGTTTTATATTATATGATCACGCAAATAAAATTTAACATTATAAAAAATCATTTTATGTTTTTTCAGAAAAGTGACCCGGCGGGTTACATGAACCGAAAAATTAACTTGCCCGGCCTTATGTTAAAAAAAGAAAAATTATTATCCTTTCTGATTATAAAACTATTTAACATATTCCGATCCCTAATATTTACCATCTTAATCTAGTATTAGGTTTAAAGAATGAAGATTTTATTAAGCCTTTCAAATATATCAACAAGCATAATCTATGCAGTTAAGCCATTTAGATAAAAATGCAGAGGCCTGCATTGGTTGAATTTTGATAGACGGATCCGGTTTTATTTGTTCCGGCCCGGCGCAAGGTACTTATTATCGGTTTATGCAAGCCTTAAATCTGAAGAAAAACTGTTTTAGAATTTCTTACTTCACTTATAATTTAGAAGGCTATTAATTGATAAAAAGTTACAAACAAAAAATAAGGTAATGAAATACAATTGTAACATTAAGCCAACGTGTTCTATATAATAAAATAATCAATAATATAATCTTACCAACATTCAAATATTAACGAAAATGAATTAGATGTTTATTAAAATAATTCATATGATATTGTGAAGAATTATTTGATTATCAATCGATCAAATCCTTTTTTATTGCGATGCAAAACAAAAGCTGTATCAGTTAGCACAAACGTCATGTCACTGAATAAGTTTATTAAATAAGGCTTAATTAAACTATCACATGAGTACTTTATAAAAAATATATTTATACATTGGGAGTCTAGATAAAATTATCCATTAATTGACTTCTTATTTTCATAATGTCGCAAGCAATATTTGATAAATTACAACCTAATCAAAAAACTCAAGTAAAATATATCTACTTTCAGAACAGTAATTCAGAACCTTCTTTATCGGGTTTTACACTTAACGTTTATAATGCCCATCCTACTTATGGAAACTTGCAAGGAAGCCTAAGCTTGGCTCAATTTCCTAACCTCAGGAAAATACAATTTGTTAACAATTTTTCTATCGCGAATTTAGAAGAAATTGACATTAGTGAGAATATAAAATTAAATAGGGTGATTATAAGTACAGATGGCAATGGAAATCCTTTACAGAACGCTAGTTATAGTCCTTTAAGTTGTAGTTTATTGGCTAAAGAAAAGCAACTTAATCAAGTAATTGTAACTTATTCTAGGCAAATTCTACATAATAATAATACTTCAATGCGATGGACTGAAATAAGCAAATTATTAAAAAAACAATCAGCAATACCCGTCTTTTTAATTGAAGATCAAAAAGCAGAACAGCAAGAAGCAGAAATAAAAACATTAAAACAGCAAATCCAAGAAAAAGATCAACAAATAACAAACTTAACAAAACAAACCGAACAAACTCCTACTTTTAAACAATTTCAAGAATTAAACGAAATAGCTTTACCTAGCTCTGAACTTAATTTTGATCTTCTAAAAAAAGAAATCAAAAGACTTAAATTGAAAGATTTTATTCCTTACTATAAAAAGCAAAAAGATGATTTTGAACGTTTAGTAGCCAATGCTAAAAATAAAACTAAAGAAGGTCTAGGAACTATTTTAGATCTTTTATTGCAAACTCAAAGTCAAATCATTGAAAGTGAGAAAACGGAAGATTCTTTTGCTAAAGGTCAGCTACAAGGACAACTAACTACTTGTCAAACACTTTTACAAACCAATTTATCTAAAGAAGAATTAAAAAATCTTTTAAATAAAAAAAACGAACAGCTAAAACTAGAACAGCAATGGGCTAGTTTGCAAGGAAATAATGAAAAAACACACTTTGATGAAAAAGAAACAGAATCATCTGAAGAAGAAAAGTAATATTTTTTCCTTTATTTATATTTAAAATTCTTTGATATTATATTTTATCTTAGTCTGCTCCAATAAATGCTTTTTTTTTTTTAACATTTTTTGTAAAACTTTTATGTACTATTAAATATTACACGATCCGTTGTAAAGCTATATTTTACAATAAAAAATATTTTTATAGAAGAAAATTTTAATCTGAACTATTAAATAAAAAAAAATAAAAAGTGAAAGGTATATAGTATAGACTAATATTCATAAAACGTGATAAATTGGAGGGGAGCTATAATTGGATGTAGGTATTTCAATATGAAAGAGAATCTTTTTGCCTGATTTTTTTATAAAAAAAAAATGATGCGATTGAAGTTGGCTCTACAGAATCAAATAGTTTAACTATTTGTATATTAGGGCTACTTTGGATGGTGGAGAAGGAGTTGATTATTTCCTTTGACAGTTAATTTTTTTTAATTTACGTAGGAGCTTACAGTCGGTTAATTGCAAAGACCCAAAATCAAAGATGTCGTTGATAACTTACGATGTTCTTTTTCGAGTTTTTTCGAGTGAAATAAAAATCTTTAATCAGAAATAACTCTAAAGCTCAAATTCGGTTCCGATCTATAACATTATATAATTTTACCAAATTCCGAAGAAAAATAAAAATTTATAGAATTGAATAAAAATTTAATATATATACTTATAAACATATATATATCCATTATGACGATAAGAAGTCGGTCGTTTATATAGATAAATTTTTGATGAATAATATTCGCACCATCAAATACTTTTTTAAAATAATTATAATAAAAATTATTGGAATGAATATTACATGATGAATAGCATAATAAAAGCTTTTATATAAAATATGACGTATCATTAAAATTTTCGATGTTTTTTTTTAACACAAAAAATGAAAAATTTTTAAAGAAAACCAAATGTCTATAACACGAATACCACATAAAATATGCACAAATAAAATTCTATAAAAAATAATCACAAACCTTTAATTCTTATAACTTACATAAACAACAATTTCATTATAAGCATTTAGAATTAAACCATCCAACTTTCCACTTTACAAAATGTTCCCAGAAATGAATTGTTAACCAAACCCGTTAGTCTCAATGGGCATATCATATACTTTGGGACTCAATGATTTCCAATTTTCGTAGAGTTGTTGCGAATATTTGATTTGATCATTGACAAAATTCTGGTATAAAAGTGAAATAAACGCGGAGCTTTTATGAAATAGTGTAAGCTCAGCATAAAAACAGTGTCGTAGAAATATTTTCCGCTTTCGTTGTAATTCAATATCCGTTCGATCCTGAAAAAAGTATTAAAATAAATATTTGATTTAAAAAAAAAAAAAAAATTTCAAGTAAAATGATTAAGTACTTTTTGAATAACGTTCGTCAATCTGTCAACTTCAGGTTCTGCGTCTTTAACTCCAGCCAACGGAGTGAGCTTGGCTTGATTGGTTTCTATTCGACTATTAAGGGTTTCGATCGTGTCCACAGCCAAACGATCTCTTCTTTCGAATGTCTCCTGATAAATAAACAAATATATATATTTCAATACATTAAGGACTAAAATTTTATTCAAGTTGAAACAAACTACTTACCCTAAAAGAAACAAGCAGATCTCGATGTCGCTTCAAATTTTCCAACACCGTATCCAGAGTAGCAATGGCCTATGTTGAAAGCGCAAATTATCATGCGTATTCTGATTAATAATTATGTTCCATTCTATAATTACGTTAATAAAATATTTACCGCATCCTCCATAACAGCTCCTGTTTTTTGGAAATGGATTGACACTTGTTCTAGACCGTGTACTACTTGGGAACAGTTGTAACAATCATCAATGTAACACCCTTTTTCTTTCTCGATTAATGAGCTAAATTAGGAAATAATTTGGTTAATATAGTTTTGGATATAAAATTTAAAGATTTGTAATAAACTTACTTTAAGGCTAAACTGTATCGCATGTAATCTGCTGCCATGCCTTAAAAGATAAATCATTCAAAGAATATTTTTAATCAAAAAGCAAACCAAATAACTTTTTTTTTCACCAATAATTGGCAAAGATTATAATTTACCTTCTTGTCTACGAGCCATACGTTCCATAAGGTTACACATATTTCGATAATGTTCAATGGCATCGTCAAGTTTATTGTATACTTTACTCAGTCGTTCATCCAAATTGTCCGGTATATTTGCTTCCATTTCAGGAGTGATCTGTTTCTTTATATATTCTTCTTCCAAGTCCGGAGTATTATTTTTACGCCATTCAGCTATCTGCTAATATGATATGATATGATAAATAAATGATTTATGATTAAATATAAATTTCTATTTAGAAATAAATCAATATAAAATATAACTATTATAATATATGTACCGATTGTTCCGTCAAAAAAATCTCGACCAAGGCATCATTCCTTAAAACAGGATGCCTAGTGATAAAATTCAGGAATCGAGTAAGTCCTTTCCTCCTCTTCTCCAGGAAGGTTTCGTCAACTGTGAAATAAAATCCATTCACTACTGGAATAAGTCTTCAAGTACTTTTTGACGGTAAGAATTAAGCAAATCATAAAAATTCCAAGACAAAATAGCCTACCACCAATTTTCTTAGGAGGCAAAGCAGGTAAAATACGAAATGGATATCGTTTTACTAAGCACTCCATTAACCACCAAAAATCACTATATCTCCTTACGACAGAGGTTTCGCGCCTCTGTGACTCTACAATGTAATTGATGTGCTTAAAAAGAAATCCTTCTCTTTCAGGTGCAAATTTTATTGAAATCACATCCACATCCATGAACCATTGGAATTCATCATCGCTAATCGAATTTCTAGTGATTGGTGGTTGCACTACACTGGGACGAAATTGTGATGGAGTTTCAACCGTATATTGTATATCCGCATATCCATTACCAGAGGGAATAGCCCAAGGGTCATCGGCCTGAAGAGAGGGAAGTGCGGGAGGACGTGATGATATGGCAGAGAAACTTAGGTTACGATTAAAATTGACGCTCTCCAGATTATTTAAAATTGGTTCCGGAAGATCTAAAGTTGAAACATCAATACAAGTGAGTTCCTTCAAAATATTGAACAGATTATTTGATTCTTAATATAAATCATCTAAAAATTTCAAGACGAACCTTGCTTGTGTTCGATTAGGTTTTCAACTGAAACATCTATTAATTTATAGTCCAAATAAGATATTTAACTTTTAGAATTCAATCATTAAGAAAAAATTAGATAACTAATAAAATCCTTTTAGAAATACCCATATTTTTTTGCGCTAAGGCAACTAATGCGAGCGCTACGTTAAATTCGCCACGGTTCACACGCGTATTATTTGTCGGTACAGCGCAATTCAAGATCTGGAATCACGAAATAGATTTAAAACGATTATCTTAATTTTTTTTTTAAAAAAAAAAATAATAAAAATAAAAATAATACTTTTTCTATTGACGCATGAGGTAATCCACTTATATTTAGAATTTTGTTTAAAGCAGATATCGAAACTCTTCCATCATTTGATGACGCGATGGTAAAAGCAGATACGTAGATTTCGGGTAAAGCAACGTCCGCTATAAAGAAGTTTATAACAAGATCCTATTACTCAATGGAATTGTTTATTTGCAAGATACAATTTAAAGAAATGAGTGCTGCACAATCGACTAAACAGCAGCAAATAAGTCGATTTTGCAGGACCAAGTCCCAAATTAACAAAAAACACACATACACAAAATACTCGAAATATCGGTCCCTCCGCCAGGAGGATCCCAGGGGTTACCAATATTTATATTTAAAGGCTCAGCACTGAAGGAAAGAGACTGGACATCAGGCATATCGGAACTCAATGACTGGCCAGTCTCAAATTGCACCGACTCAAAAAAACTATCAGACATGTTTTCTTCCATTTCTCTCACTAATAAAAGATGACAACAGATTTAACTAAGATTGGATATTTATTTAGATAAATTTATATTTTTAAAAAATGTATGTCATAACAGTTTTTTTTGTAGATGTTGATTTAAGTTCCACATGCATGTATCCCGTGATGTAATTCAAGGACCAAGAATTTCCTCAATAAGGATTTCCAGGAGAGAAAGATCCACTTTACAGATCATTTACTACAAATCACAATGATTTGAATTTTACAATATTGGCGTATTTCAAACAGGTTAAATACATCATGCATCATGTGTAATTCGCCTTTTGACAATTTTCTTTATTTTTGGATTAAATAAATCCAATTTTCGAATTTTTTTTTTTTTTTAAAAAAAAAAAAAAGGAACTTTTGATTTTATTTATATTTATTTATATATTGATCGAGATGGGTAAAGAACGCCAATATGTATAATCACACCTTTATTTTAACCTAAATCTAAATTGCACTACATTACTAGTTTTTATAAGGAAAAAATCATCCAAAAATTAAAAAATCCAGTTAAACAGCATTAAGCCAGCTCAGATAATGCCTCATTGCTGGTTAAAGGGCTCATCTGGACACGAACGTATAGAATAAATAATTGCATGTAGATTATTTTTAAATTGATTAAAAAATTATGGGATTGATATCTATGTTACAAGTTTTTAAACTGGAAATGAGTGTTCAATTACTGATGTTTATTTTTGATTTGTTGTTTAGTATTGTACAAAAAGTAAACAAACTAAAAAATAATAGATCCAAATAATAATATGTACATAAATAGAAGTATCTTCAACATTAAACAGTATTTCTTAAAATTATGACTTTTCCATCAATGTAAATTTGCCAATTCAATTATATAACATATTAAACCCAAAGTTCTCCGTCATAAATTAATCTCTTTTTTTTTTTTGGCATTTCTTTTGTCATCAGTGATTCCATTAAAGGAACAAACCATGTAATTGATCAATAAATATTAATGATAATAATGATAATTAATGATAAATAATCGTAAATTAATGATCTATACAGAAATCTGGGTTTTCTTTATGTAATGAATCTTCTCTATCTTTATATAAAAGATATCATAGAAGGGAAAGTGTGCAAAAAAAAAAAAAAAATTTGAATATTAATTGTTTTTAAATAAATTATAAAGTTCTTTTTTTTCTTTGCTTTCTCAAATGAGGAAGCCTTCGCTAAAATGATGTGAACCGGAATGATCATTATGATTATAATTATTCCTCGTTAGATTGCCCGTTGTGTGATACAAGTGATGTGGTGAACGTTGGTCACTTTCATAACCATTTCTTCTTGGACTAATAATAAAAAGAAAATTTTTGATTTTTTTGTCACAAAAACTAAATTCAATTTAATCAAAAAATATTACGCTTCGTTACCTTGTAGGGTCCACCTAAATCAAATATATAATGAAAGAATGAAGAATATATAAATAAATAAATAAAAGATAATTATTATCATATACGCATACCCTAAATATCAAATTAAAGTGAAAAGAATGAAACCATAACATCAATTTTTAATAAATCAGAAAGATGATGATCATTTACCTCACTCTCTTCTTCTTCTTTAACATCTTTATCGATCCTGACATACCAACTTGGCACCCAATCTCGCGCATCATTAATTTCACAGTATAACCAATGACCTTGTTTTTTATATATACGAAGCGTATCATCCTTTTTCATATGAAGATCTTCAAAATCAATTAGAGCAACGCCGCGTCCAACATATGGACTGTCATCATCCATCATGTCCACTCCATTTACACTTGTTTCTAACAAGAAATTGGCAGGTACCCACCCAGTTTGACCATCTTTCTCAACAAAACACCATCCACCATCTTTGCTCCTAATTTTGAAAACATCTCCAACAGTAACACTAAGTTCATCATCAAGTTCTTGAACGTATGGATAAATGGCAACAGCCGTACCGTTACCTTCCACCAAATCCTCAGAATAGCCATTTGATGTTTGATGATATACAGGTGATGGTTGATTTGAAGGCATCAAGTACTGATCGGGTGCTGGTGGTAATTCTTTGTTTAAAAATTGTGTCGTACGCCGTTTCGATTTATTTGCTTTTAATGAATTGATAATTTCCTCTGCTGTAGCAACAGGCGATTTAATCTCTTTAATATTTTTTAACATAAAAACTGGATTTTGGTTCGCTTCCTTTAATTTTTGAAATAACAATAAAGGTTTTTCATCGTAACTCAAACAACGCTCTGTCGTATGATCTGTGAACGTATAGATTATCCATCAATAAACTATAAAAAAAATAATATTTTCACCAATAAGTCGATTTTACCTGGAGTTCCATAGCAAATGAACAGGGCGTACTGACGCCAATCATCCGTAATCTTATATTTTTTTAAAGCCGCTGGTAAAACTTTATAACAAGGATCTTCAAGTGACACTCGGAAACTTTTATAAGATTCTGCTTCTCGACTTGTATTATTAGGACTGTGATTATTACCAAAAAACTTTATGGCACCTCCCCCCTCATTGATTGTGACTTGAGGTAAATTATAGTTATTGTTTTGTTTCTACAAAAATAATAATATGTCAATATATATATAAATATATGTGTGTATTATGTCTTAAATCAATTACACATAATAAATCAAATATTAAACACGATTTACGTCAATATCATTATTGTAATTATTGTGATGACGATTTCGCGGTGAGTGAGGAGAAGGCGGTGCACTTGAACCATCCGATGAATACGTCGGAGACCTTGAATAATTTGTAATATTTATGCCGGGAACCGTAACGGAAAGGTTTGTCTTTAAAGCGCCACCATACTTTTTGCTAGAACCATTTCTTTCCAGCTCAGGTAATGGCTAAATGTTCCAAATTTTTTGTTACATATAAATTTTCGAGGAAGTTAAAAAAAGAATATTGCTAAGCCTTTAACTTTATTAATTTGAACCTTATTTTCTTTAGCAATTTTCCAAATTGGCGTCAATTCGTCTCGCAATTTTGATAAGTCAGTTGACAATCTTTGAATTTCTTTCGACAAATGTGAAATTAATGCGTCTAGTTGAATTTAAAGATTAGTCTTAATAAAAATACATAATTAAAAAAATTTTTTTTTAATTTTATAAATACCTCTCTCTTGAATTGCGCTCTCAATTTTACGAAGGTCTGGAATCCCATTCGTAACACTCATTGCCTAAATAAAAATAAAAAAAAATTTTTTGATAGTTAAAAAAGGAACAAATATTATTTAACTTAAGAGAAACAAAAAGTTCAAAAAATCATACATACACTTTCGAATTCTGCAGCTATTTAAATGGTCAAAGGTAATCAATTAATTTAAGAATTGCAATTATTATTATTATTTTTATTATTTTTTTTAAAAAAAAAAAAAAAAAAAAAAAAAAAATAGAATAATAATAAAATCAAACTTACAAGGGGGAACGTATTCGCCAATTTCAACGGGTATATTATGCTGTATCTTCAGGTTATATATCGCTTTCAGTATGGAAACTCTGTGACCGACAGAACGAACGCCAAGATCTTTTAGTGCCTCATGATCCAAGTGAACTAGGATCTCTCCACTTATACCTTGTTCTGCATTGCATTAAGAAAATAATACAAAAGTTAAACGTGAAAAACACAAGAAGAGACGGAACGGTTCGTAAAAGCTTTGTTAATTGTTTGATAGATTGCGTCAGGTCTTAAAAGTACCTTTTAATTGTGATTCATATGAGGAATAGCCAAGAAAAGAAAGCCAGGAATGTACCTTATTTACATCCCAGGAGGTTACAGGCTCAATTATTCGGTCCATTGGAAATTGAGGTGGATGGTGTGGAAAAAGAGAAACAAATTTTTTTTGAATTTTTTTTTTTTTTTTTTTTTTGTAGAAGTAGGTTTAACAATTAATTTAGGATGTGAAAACGTGTGTTCAATTTATTGTATACATTTTTCGTCTATCGTATTACAATCGTATTACCCAATCGTCGAACTTCTAAACATAAATAGGTTGCTATTTTCTAACCAGATATTCTTATTTGAATAAACTGTTAATAATACATCCAAGGTCCTTTGACGCAGTTTAATTATTATTAAGTAGAGGATTAAATAACCAATCTTTTTAATAACAATGACAATATAATTTCAGAAATCAATTTTTTAATTCTAATATGGTAAGTTTACTTAGTTTTTATATTTAAATTAATGTTAACCAATAAATTGTCCGAGTCAATTACTGATTTGATCAACTTTGACCCATTGTGTGTGTTATAGCGTCATAAAAAATCCCCGATAATTGATCGGATCACTATAAAAAAATTTTTATATTGACTTTTTTTTTAATAATTATTATTACCGTCACAAATTCTTTTAAAAATTCTTTAACGGTAAAAAGCTATCTAGATCCGAAGTAAAGTGAGAGACCTAAAACAAATTTAAAAAGTATTTTTAGCAATATTGCGTGAACAACGGGCTGAAGTTTAAAGAAAGTCGATCTGTTGAAAGAAATAAATGTTAAACTGTTTACACCTTACCCAACGACTTAGTAAAAAGCTATGACACGTGATTTTATATAATTATCTGTCATCCTGTATCACTCACTTTCTTCCATGATTTATTTTTTATTTACTTTGTCATCCATTATTTGTTATATTTACATTAAGCAAAATAAAATCACATGTTTTTTGCTAATTCCTAAAAGTTGATCTTTATATATCAAACAAAATCTTTACGATGATCATTACCATCAAAATCCAACAATGATGAGCATTTTTATTTAAAATACCATTTTAATTCTTATAATAAAAAAAATTAATTATTAAAGATATCCAATTAAATATTTTTTATAGAAGCAAATTTTTTAACTTTTATTTAAATTAATGACCTTTAATTATTATTTAAGCTTTAAATGGTTTAGATTAATTTAAAAAGTATTTATATATAATTTTTTAATTAAACCGTTTATTTTAATAACTAATAAATATTATAA